TAGTGCCATAAATAATGCATTATATTGAATACAACGAAAAAGGTGATTAATACACTAAGCCGTTTGCCTAGCCTAATAATCAATGGCCATCAAATTATTTAACCGCAGACAATTTCTGCAAAATTCCAATAATTTTCGTGGCCGATTTCAATTTAAATGAATTGTTTATTTGTTTTTTAGGGGCCCGATGATATTCTTTTTTACTAGTTGACCCTTTTGTCACCCCTGCCATCATTTTCATAAATTCCTTGCCCTTTCTAATCATTATCAATTTTTAAATCACATTTAAAATATTACAATTGATAATTAATTAATGACGGCATTTTTTCAAATCAACAAAATACTCACTTTCTTCAACAATAACTGTCTCTTTTTTAAGTTATTTTTGTTTCATATTATCTGTCACTTTACATTTCCAACACAATATTAATTGTGTAATTATCAATTTTATCCTTATTAACTATCTCCAACACTCTCTCACATTAATTATTGACAAGGGCATTTTAATATAAGAACATATATTTTTTTTAAATTAAGCAACATTTATTGAGATCATTAATCCCTGTGCACAAGCTAAAAACGACAATTATAAAGGAACTGATGGAGTAATAAATAATCGATAAATTAATATTAAATGTTTTGAGTTTTGGTAATGAATGGATAATGTTTCTTTGAGAGAAAAAAAATTCCATAAAATATAGGGTAAATTACAACAACCTCCCTGATGTATGGTTAAATTACGAACAACCCCTCATGTTTGGGTAATTACAACCACCCCTCAACTATAAATCTTCTTACACGTCCATTCTTGCGGTTTCAAAATTAGTGGAATATTCTAGATTATATGGAATTTCCTCAATTTTGTACCCGTTTTATCACATTTGAGCTCCACATTTTGAAACAAGATGATCATAAGATGTGTTTTTTGGCTTGTATATATCTGATTGTTGCATTAGAACATACCACGGAATCTAGATGATTATGTTAAATTTGACACTATAAGATTGGAGGTGTAAGATGATTCATAGTTGAGGGATATAGATGCACATATCTAAACAGGAGGGTTTTTCCGTAATTTGACAATACCTCAGAGAGGTGGTTGTGATTTACCTTAAAAGATATGTTACTTTAGATTTTTTCAATGGCGCATTAAATTTATTTTTTAATATTATTCTTTATCACTCTTAATTAATTGAAAAATAAATAATTGGAAATCAATTAATGGCAGTGGTATTTTAGTGACACGAAGACACAAATTCCATGTGTTGAAGTACTTTCTTAGACTTATTTTTATAGAAAACGGTTGTTCTGTGGGGAAGAATTTGAAAATGAAATTAGAAAAAACATAATGTATTAGTCAAATCAGAATTAAAGACGTTGAAAAAAAATATTTAGAAGGAGAATTTGAAAAATAAAATAATAGTCATTTGTTTATTTAAAAAGTTTTAATTATAAGTATGTTATAATTTGTGTTTTTTTTTTTAATCTTGAAAAATAGTATGTCAAAATATTAGAAATTCAAATAATCAACAAAAACATTAGGAATTGGGTGTGTGTGTTTTTTAGGGGGGCCCAAATAGAAATATTGTAAAATGTAGAAGAAGTGATCTGAGCCCAAAGTGGTCAACTTTAAACGGGCGTTGACCCTCCGAATGCGCTTTTTGCCTAATCACGGGATGACAAAACCAAAAACGTCTTTTCACCTTGCCCGTTTCCTCAAGTTGCTTATTTGGCTTACAGATTTAAAAGGATGCGGTAAATATCGTTTCAGTTTTAATAATAATATTTTCATTTAAAACGCGAATTGAACTTTTTTTTGTCCGAATTTAGCAAAAGTAGACACTTGAATTTGTAATTTTTTGAGTTAGCTACTTACTTCAACCTGAATTATTAATATTGAATGTCGTTTGACAAAGATATGCATGAATAAATGAACATTGTCTACAATTTTAATATTTTTTTCATTTATCTAAAATTTAAAATGTAATTCATTCGTGCATAATTTTGTCACCTGACATCCAATCTAGTTGATTCAAATTGCATTAGAAAGTTAAATCAAATGACCAGTGGCGAAGCCACGATTTTATCACTAGAGGCCGAATATGCATAAAAAATATCAATTACAACAAAAACTGTTCTAAGAGTCCTTGAAAAGGTTTAAATATTTGGGGCGACGCCCATGAAAAAAGTTTAGGTCCTTTTTTTTATTTTCGACAACCACAATCCGTAACTTCTTTATCCACCTTGTTAGACTCGTGTATTAGTTTTTCTATGTTCTCTTCAACCATTTCATTAGTCACTATCGCACGGAGATTAGCACCCAACTTATTTCAGTTATTACATATTATTGTTGCAATTATTTAGCATTAAGCATCGAAAGGAAACAATTAATGGTCCTAATCCTAGTAATCACATGGTGGGTCCCACCTCAAATTTTGTAGGGGTCCCCTTGACCCACCATGTGCTATATAAACATCATCATCATAAAGTCCATAAAACAAAAAATACATATTTACAGGACCTATATTAAAGGTTTGGTTTTATTGATTATTATTATTAAATTTTTTTTTTTTATTTTCTTTTTCCTTTTGTGAGGAAGTTTTATGGATAAATTGGAGACTATTGCTGGGACAATTCACGTGGAATCTTAAGACACTTTAAATAACCCTAGGCAAATTTAATGGAGGGTTAGGGATCAAAGGAATTTTCGTCGGTGGGACCATCACCATTTAAAAGGCAAAAGCATTATTAGTGTTTCCGAAAGCAATCTATCATAATTCATAATTAATTAATTAATTGTAATACTAATAATAATAAATTTAAATTAGAAAAAAGAAAAAAAAAAAGCAATCCATGAAATATTGATATGACCTCTAAGAAACAGCCAACACCCAAACGTGGGATTGTGGGTGTAAGAATAGGGGTGGTAAACGAGTTGAGCCGACTCATGAACTCAATGAGCCGGTTGAAAAAAGCTTGAATTCGGAGTCGAACACAAGTTTTTCGAGCTCGAGCTTTTTGACCACGAACCTTATTTTTTTATTTTTTTATTTTTTTTATTTAAATAATGTATAGTGATATAAAATATTATAGAAATAATATAAAAATAACATATAAATATTAAAAATATATATATAAGTACATTATATTGTTTATTTTGTAATTTTTTTAATAATCTAAATATTTTATAATAATAAATAATTAATAATTATTATTTAAGAAAAAAAACTCCAAAATGAAATTGGGCTCGAGCTCGAGACTGCCAAAACAGGCAAGCTCAGCTCGTTCACACACCAATGTAAGAATGTTAAAGAAACTAAGTAGTAATAAAAAAAATACAAAAAAATCAGAAAGGCAGTTATACATTAAGTAAAATTGAGTAGGAAAAATGTCTATTACATCTGCAAAAAAGAACATAGAAGAGAAACAAACATACTCTAGACAGACAAACTAATAATTTTTCCCCAAAACAGGCACAAGAATGGTTGAACTGAAAAATCTTACACATATTTATTACAAAGAAAACTGTAATTATAAAAACCAAAAAAAAAAAAAAAAAGAAAAGTATAGTAAAGGGGTGAGACATTTGATCGAAAACATTGCAAAAAGAAGAAAAAGAAAACGAAATATAGAACAAATATAATCCGAAATGAAACCCTCTTCTCATGAAAGTCACTAGTTCTTTCTTTGTCCACTTGGGGAAATAATTACCTGACCTGTGAAGGAGAACAGAGCAAGCCAGACGCATCGGATCCAACAACCGAAAGGTCACAAACAGTACAGATTTGCCCTTGCTGAGCTGGCACGAAATGCGTGCTGCAGTAAGGGCAGATGGCGTCTTTCTGCCCTCTGTAAATCGGCACGTAAGTGGCCCCACACACCACGAACGGGTTTCTAAAATCATAGTTCAACTGAGTGGCATCTTTCATATTCTTCTCAGCAGCCTGCAAGACCTGACGCGCCGTTTTCGACTGGCTCTCGTTGCTCGGGTTGGTCTCTAAAAGCCTCCTTGCAAAATTGGCGGCAGTGCTCAGATTCTGCGCCTTATAGCAGACAGTCATAGCGTTTAATAGAGCGAGCCTAGTGTGCGGCAGCTGCAGATTGCAGTGCGTGAAATATGCTGCCAGTTCTTGCTGGCGGATTGGGTTGTCCTTCAATTCCCTCCTCTTTAGCTCAATCTGCAAACCTAGCACATATTCCTTCGCCACGAGAATTAATTCTTTGACTTCATCGACCTCTCTTCGTGTTTCGACCACAATGAGTGGAATTGTGTGGAGAATGGTGGAAAAGTGGCGGAGAGCTTCCGAGAACTTTCCGGAAGTTGTGGCCTTGTAGCCAGCCTTGAGTTTCTCGTCGAGGTGAGAGAAGTCAAATACTAGGGCAGGGGGGCCACGTACGTTGGGGCTGGCTTGCTCGCTCCACCCTCTCTCCACAGCAATGGATAAAACGGGGGCTGAGGTGAAGGCACGTAAGTAAGTTTGGCTGCCCATGTGGAGATCGGTGAACTGGGACTTCAGAGGGGTGAAATTCTTGATTCCCAACTGGCGGCTGAGCAAGCGCATGGCAGTGTCAAAGTTTCCGGCAGCCGCGTGTTCGGCGGCAAGAGAAGACCGCTGGACCCAGATCTGGCTCACGGGCATACCCGGTGTGGGGGCCACAAACACCGAAGAACGGGCATTAGAGTTGGCTGTTTTTGGGGTTTCGGAATCTGGCGGCAACTCGAGGTCCTCGAGGTCCCACCCTCCCTCCTCGTCGTTCTCTTCGTGGGCCCCATCTTCATCTCCGTCCAGCACCGTACGAATGTCTCCATTCGGTAAACTGTCCACGTCACCGATATCCAAACCCTCGCCCCAATCAGCATCCGCCACCTCATCATAATCTTCTTCGGCTGCACCACCACCTCTGCCTGCATCGTCAAGGCCGCCTTCGAATATGCCTTTACTGACCATCAACAAAGGCCAGTCTCCAGCACGTAAAACGGGGTTCGGGGGTATCAACAGAGATGCTTTTTTACCACCCTTCGGAAGTGAAGGAATATTCTCCCCCAATTCACCGGCCAGACGCTCGGTAACATCGTGCAGCCCATGGACCGAGGCAGTGATATACGCGAGAGGCAAATGGCCCACGTTCTCAAGAATCTTAACGCGCTCACGAACATCACCTAGGTACAACGCGTCGTGGAACTGGCCCATTACATCGTTCTTCACTTCAGCAATTTTCATCATTTTCGACAGTTTGTCGAGATTGCCAGTAATCAGATAATGGAAAGATAGCCTCTCGAAGTTCTTGGTTTTCTGATATGCATATTCAACAATGCCAGCATTCCCCTGCCTAAGAGCCTCCACACCCAGCCTATACCAGTGATCTTTCTCGTCGATCTTTTTAGCAGATTCAAGAGCTTTCTCGATATTACCGCTTTCGAGGGCTAAGTTGAAGCGAGTCCTCTCATCCTTCACAAAATACAGAGCAACTTGTGGGAAGCCCTTCTGCTGCAAATAAGCAATCATGGCCTGTCCACATAGCTCCGAATTTTTTATCATGCTCATAACCTGGTCGTATCTCTTCCTCAGCAAGCACAGCTTGAAAACGTACTCCGTTGAATCGATGATGATCGGGCGGTTTTTTCCGTCTCGTTCCAAGCAAAAGATGGTGCTGCCGTATATCTTAGTAATGTATACGGGTACATCGAGAGTCTTGATGATTCCACTGTCACCGTTCGGAAGGCAGTACTTGATGTGCGTCAGAGTGGTGTAGATGAAAACTCCGTTATCATCCCACGCTCCACTCTTCACACGAATGGTCTCGTGCAGGGTGCAGCGGTGCGCGAGCTTTTTGTCAGCAATTACAATCGAGTGTTTGCTCAGTAAAGCGACACTCTCCATATCGGGTGACCAAACCACGTACCGAACGAATGATGTTTGGAGTTCTCCAAGAACAATCCTTTGCTGGAGATCGAAGATTGATACCCTATCTTCAGACCTGCACAGCAAGTTCCCAGTTCCCGCGTAGAATATAGCATCGGTAGGAATAGGAAGAACGCTCTTTTTCACGATTTCATTTTTCAGGTTCTTCACCAAGACCTGGTTTGTGCTCTTCTCAAGCACAGCAAACCTATTCCGAGCGACAAAGACCGCCGATCCGCCGACACCTCTTTTTGCATCTTGTACCGTGTCTCCTCTGCCATAGCTATCTTTGGGAATAATGTAGAGTTCGTAAGACCCTCCATCTACATCCGAGCAAACCAGAAGAGCACTTTCAGTAGGGCTGTAAGAAAGCGTACGAGGGCCTTGGTTCAAAGTATTAGAACCAGGGCGACGGATAGGTATCAGCTGAGTGTCTTTCTGAGTCGAATACTCAAAAGTACGTAGAAACCTGTCCTTTACATAGAAGAGCGATTCGCCACTGACGGAAAATGCGGGACGCTCTCTCTCCAGCTTAAAGACAATCATGCCGCTATCATGGCCAGCGGCTAAAAGATTCATCTCGGGATGGGCTGAAAGAATCCAGAACCTGTCGTGCTCCCTACGAAAAGTCTGCAGGCCTGTTCTTTTGGTAGCATCCCAAACTCGGATACTCTTGTCTTCTGAATTCGAGACAATGATATCCTGCCTTGAGTGGAATAACACACATGACACATTGTTCATGTGGCCTCTCAATGTGTCCACCTCCCACGCCTTTGTATCTGATACAAAATAAATTAAAAATCAGCTATTTAATTTAACAGCCTTTAAGTTTTTGTGCAACTAGAAAAAGCATAAGGCGTTACATAAACCAGTAAACCAAGTTTCATGTAGTATCATATGTATCTAATAGAAGGAATTGGGAGGTAGTTCCCGAATACATGATATCAATCGATCAATCTAGAATTAGAATTTGACATAGAATTTGATATAGTGTATGATATTTCTAGATGCCAGTTCTTAATTCAAAATAGTATTAGGAGGGTGTTTGGCTAAGCTTATAAGCTGTTAAAAACAGCTTATAAGATGTTTAAGAGCTTATAAGCTCTTCAAAAGTGTTTGGTAATATTTTTTAAGAAAGATCTTCACATTCAAAAAATATGTTGGTGGAGAGCTTTTAAGATCTTTTTTAATAAGAACCTATGCCCCACCTTTTATACTTAAGATCTTATAATGAATAAAAGTAGTTTATACGCTCATTACCAAATACTTTAAAAATCAGATGTAACAGCTTATCAACTCTTAAAACAAGCTCTTGAAACAATATATCAGATTTAAGAACTTATCAGATGCTTAAAATAAGTTTAGTCAAAGACCCTCTAATCCTCAAACAAGAGGCTAAACAAATCAAGATCGTGCAAACGTACCATTCATGCGCCAGATTTTAACTTGACGGTCATCTGCTCCAGAAACAATCAAAGGGAGAGTTGGATGGAAAGAAGCCCAGTTAACCCCACGATCGTGGCCTTCCAACACATATTTCACAACAGCATCAACCCCACCAAAGAAGTCAGTATTCATTTGAGACAATCTGAGAATGTCATCAGCTGGAGATACTGTCTTCTTCCTCAAGGCACCAATATCCCAAACACGCACGGTCTGATCCAAAGAGGCTGAAACAACAAGATCGTCTTTCGGGTGAAACGAGGCACACATGACGTAATGGTTGTGCCCAGTCAGCACGGAAATGCAAGTCCGAGACTGCCAGTTCCATATTCTGATTGTCTGGTCATCACTTGCACTTACGATCCATGGATATTCGTGATGAAACTGAACTGTTCGGATGTAATCAAGATGACCGAGAAGAGTAAATAGACATCTGTGCAATTTGTAATTCCAAACCTTGATTTTGTAATCATCACCTGCAAAGTATCAGTGTTGAAATTGAACATCACCTATCTAAATTGATAAAAGATAATCTAAAGACAAAAAAACGTATATGCATCTATGTGTGTGCACATATAGAGAGAAAATGTACACTATTCGTCATGCAGAACAGTCTTCATAGAAGAGTAAGTTCAACTAAAGGTCTAATAAGAATCACTACAATTACGAATAAATACGAGGAAAATATATCAGACAAGAAGTTACACCATTTGGAGAAGACAGCAAGACACAGAATTTTTTTGTAGAATTTCGATTTACCTTTAGCTATATCATGCAATTCAAGATAATTAAACTTCACAAATCCCTTAATACTAATAAAAACATAATAGTGGGGTCAACAATCTCCAGCTCCAGCATGACTGAAAAGTTCATCGGCTTAAGTTTAATCAATACACAATGATATAAAATGGGAACTAGCAATCAAACGAAAGGTATTCCTTACCTCTACAACAAGTCAATTTTTTTACAACTCACAACATCTGTACATTCACTAACCCCACAACTAAAATCCAGCCAAATAATGAGTTAAAAGAAGCCAATCCGCAAACTCTTCAAAATGAAATACGGAACTTGAGTGCATTTAAACACGCACGCGTCTTGAAATATGAAATTTAAAGGCCAAATCACCGCTACTTAAATTCTATGATCCCTAAAGTCAAGGATCAAGATTCAATCTTTACATGTTAAAAGTTTGATAGCAGCACATTTAAAATCGAGATACTGTTAAATGGCATGTCGAGATGACAACAAATTCAAAATAAAACAGAAAAAAGAAAAATAAATGCTAATTGATCACAACATCAATCAACGATTAACACAAAACCAGCAGATCCAGGGTCCAAAACACTATAAAATACGCCAAAGTACCAACAATCAACCAAAAACAAACAGAGATCACAATGCAATAAGTAAAAAAGTCTAAAAAAAAATAGAGCATCATCAGAATTAAAAAAAAAAAAAAAAAAAGGCTAATTGATCACACCATCAACGATTAACACAAAACAAGCAGATCCAGGGTCCCAAAAACTAGAAATACTACCCCAAAGAACCAATAATTAACTAAAATCAAACAGAGATCACAATGCAATAAGTAAAAAAGTCTAAAAAAAAATAGAGCATCATCAGAATTTAAAAAAAAAAAAAAAAAAAAGGCTAATTGATCACACCATCAACGATTAACACAAAACAAGCAGATCCAGGGCCCCAAAAACTAGAAATACTACCCCAAAGAACCAATAATTAACTAAAATCAAACAGAGATCACAATGCAATAAGTAAAATTCTCAACAAAAAAAAATTAAATAAAAAAAAACCTCCAGAAACGAAAAGCGGCTGCGATTTATGGAAATGGACGCCGCGAACGGGGCCATCATGCTCGTCGAAGCGATCAATGAGAGTGCCCATGCGATAATCCCAGAGCTGGATCACCCCACTGTGTAGACTCGCCAAGATCCATGGCCTCTTGCTATGGAAACTCAAACCTTTCACTCTATTACTCTTCGTCTCAAACTTCGTCAACATTTCCCCACAAATTCTCCTTCTCCCCCAAAAAAATTCACGCACACTGAAAAAAAAATCAAACGAATCAATCAATCAAACAAACAAAATAAAAACTGAGATCTGCATTCAATTAACACAAAATCGAAGCCTAATTGATACATTCCATCCAAACCTGATTTAGATCTGCGAAGCAATTGGAATTTACAGTGTACGAAGATCGCATATGTTAAGAGAGTGAGGGGGCGGGGTGGGGGCGGGGTGGGGGGGTGGGGGGTGGGAATTGTAATGAAGAATTAAAAAAGTGCGTTAATTTCTTCGTTTCTGCTGGTGGATCTACTCTACCTTGGGGGAAAATTGTCTGGATCCGAAAGTTGAAAACTTGATCCAATTTATAGGGGTGGGGTTCTTTTGTAATTATTTTTTTGTTTTTTACTTTTGTTAAATTAAAAAAATTCACCTTATTTTATGTAATTTGATTGGAGGGGTGACACATTTTATATGACATTAATTGTTTAGCCTTGTGTATTAAGATATATGAATAAGTCAACCTTTTGATGAGAGTTTTATTACCCAATGTGAGAATTGTATGTAATGGTGGGGTTGAATTGCAAAATGAGCTATTCAAGTATAAATCCCTTTTTTTTCAATTCATTTTGAGATAAAAAAAATCTATAATTTAATAGTAAATTATTGTAATATAATGATATCATTCACCAAACTATGTATTTCACGATCGATTCATTTTTTTTCTCTCATGTTTCGACTTCTCCTATTCCTTTTTCCTTCAAACAACCAATCCGCGCCCATGCCTACCGCCACCTCCTCCGACTCAATCACCTCTATTTTCGCGCTTCCACCGCATACACTGATGCTAGATTGTTCTGTTTCGGCGAGATTGCATCGACTTTTCTGGATTATAGGCCACCACATCTCGACAAGGACGATCCATTGATGGCTTCGAATCGGGTTTTGGCTAAAGTCGATCGAATTTGTGGTGTAAACGGTGTTTCGAATTTCACTTGGAGTCGTTGTCGCCAACAAATATGGTCAATGCAATTACTTTCATAATTATTTTTGTTTTGAAATTTTACTTAATATTATAAACTTTCACATCGTTTTATGTATTTTGATTGGAGGGGTGACATTTATATGACATTAATGTTAGTCTTGTGCATTAAAATATGAATAAGTCAAAGTTTGATAAGAATTTAGTACCCAATGTGACAATTGTATGTAATGGTGGGGTTGAATTGCAGAATGAGCTATTCCACAAAGAAAAAAGTATGAAGTATAGGGAAAATTTGCTAAACTCCATCGTATCGATCACATTTACAATTACACGAGGTCCATTTTTTTCTCCCATTTTGAAGTAAATTCATAATTTAATAAAATTATAATAATACAATTATATAATCCACCAAACCATATATCCCACGATCGATTCATCTTTTTTTCTCACGCTTCAATTTCTTCTATTTTTTTTCCTTCAAACCACCGCTCCGCCCTCGCCTCTATCCATACCACTGCGCATTCGAGAATTTTTTTTAATATTTTTTTTTATAAATTGTAAATTTCAACAAGAGGTATTGTTGTACTTTATTGTATTAACGTAGGTAAAAATTGGAAATAAAGTGATAAAATAATTTATTCAACTAATAAGTATTGAACTGAGAAAGTTTCGATATTTAAAATAGCCGCCCCCTTTTAAGTGTTTGGGTGTCTAAAATTTTATTGGTCCATTAATCAGAATATCCAACCAAATCGAAGTTATATCCAGCCCATCAAAGTAGTTAAGATTTAGCCCAATGGTAAGGGCTTAAAAACCAAAAAAAAAAAATAATAATAAAATAAAATAATAATAATAAAAATAGCATTGATTAACCCAATAAATCTTTGTGGATATAAAAAAATGTTTGGATGACTAATGAAACTCATACCTAATATCTACATTTAGAATAAGCATGGAGCTAAGGATAAAACAGATAAACTTCACTTTTATAGGAAGAAATCCATTGAAAGCAGATTTCGTTCTTTACTTTAATTTAAATTTGTGTGCAACTTGGTACGAAGCTTTTAAGTTATACCCATCTTTAGTTACGAACGGTAATGAAATAGGTAAACGGCTTATCCATGAAATTTAAGCTTAATGTTGTATGAAGGTTTTAATTTTAGTGCTCGTTTGGCTGAATTTATTTTAAACAGCTGATAAGCTCTTACATCTTATTAATTGTTTTAAAAGTTGATAAGTTGTTACATTTTATTTTTAGAATTAATTATTAAAATGTTTGTTTGATGATCTTATAAGTTATTTTTAACAACTTATAGGTTTAGCTAAAAACCATTTTAAAAGGTGTTTGCCTAAACTTATAAGCCGTTAAAAAGAGTTTATGAGATGTTTAAGAGCTTATAAACTCTTTCAAAATCTGATAATTTTTTTAGAAAAGATCTTAAAAATTCACAAAATAAGTTGCGAAGAGATTTAAAGATCTTTTTAAGAATGTAATTTACCCCATTTTTTTATTTAAGTTCTTATAATGAATAAAAAAAACTTATACGCCAATTATATAGACACTTTAAAATTTAGTTATAGAAGTAAAAGTATAAAACGTACCAGCTTATCAACTCTTAAAATCAGATGCAAGAACTTATCAGTTATTCAAAATAATCTTCACCAAACGGGCTCTTAATAATTTATATAAGAAATATTAGTATTACCATGAAAAAGTGCATAAAAAGAAAAAAAAAAAGAAAAAAACTTCTAGTGACTATAGTGATATCCAACTAGATCAAGAAGGAAGCCATGTAATCCTTACCTAATTCCCCCTAGCACTAAAATTTATCATTTTTTCAGTTCAAACTCATTTTTAATCAATTTACCAAACATATGATGTACTTTATTACTATATAGTTTATAAATATATTATTAAAACTTTTTGTCTTTTTCACTTCCCTCACACTATATATAGACCCCAAACTATCAACTAACATAAATCACAACCCAATCCCTCAAAATTAATGTATTCGCATTTCCTACCCAATGGAAATCCAAACTTCTCCATCCGAAATAACAATACACGAAACCTCGTTCTCAATTAAGCCCACGGTAGCAAAAAATAGTTGCAAAGAATTGGTCCTTTTAGTCCTTACAAGAATCCATGCGGGCTATTTCAGAATTACCCTTTCTTTGGGGTGGCAATCGCTATTATGGAAAATCCTCCTCCACCCCGACAAGGATTCAGTAATTTCATTTCAAGTCCCTAAACTTTTCTATATTACCGTTTTGACCATAATATGGTCGTTTTCGTTCTTTATCCTCCTCCTCCTCTCCCTCCTCTACCTCCTGAAATGCGCGCTCCGCTTCCACATGGTGAAAGCGGAGTTCGTGCACCAGGTGGGGGTAAATTACCTTTTTGCCCCCTGGATTTCGTGGCTGCTGATACTCGAATCCGCCCCCTTCGTCACCCCCAAGCACGTATCCTTCGTCGTCCTGTGGTGGGTCTTCGCAGCTCCGGTCGTAATCCTGGACGTGAAAATCTACGGCCAGTGGTTCACAAAGGGGAAGAAGTTCCTCACCGCCGTGGCTAACCCGACGAGCCAGCTCTCCGTCGTCGGAAACCTCGTCGGAGCTCGCGCCGCCGCCAAGATGGGGTGGCGGGAGGTTTCGATCTTTCTCTTCTCTCTAGGGATGGTGCATTACCTCGTCCTGTTCGTGACACTCTACCAGCGGCTCTCCGGCGGAGACCGGATTCCGGCGAATCTCCGGCCGGTTTTCTTCCTGTTCTTCGCGGCGCCGAGCGTGGCGAGCCTGGCTTGGTACTCCATTGCCGGAAGATTCGATACCGCTTCGAAGATGCTGTTCTTTCTCTCTCTATTTCTGTTTGCTTCACTGGTGAGTGCTATTACATATTTTTTTTTTGTCGAGAAATTTTAATAATGTTTTTTTTTTTTGGAAATTTGACTTTCGTTTTTGTTTTTTTTCGGAATATTTTAAAATAGAATTAATATTTTATTTTCGGAATATTTGACATTTTTTAAAAGAAGACGTAACAAATCTGGTCACTTAATTTAATTTTCAACGGTGTGGGTTTTTAAGTGGTGCTTTCAACGTCTGCATGCGCAGTTGATTTGAGACGTTATTTATATATTTCCTAGATATTTAAATATCTTTCAAGATGAATTAATTTATAAGAGATTTGAGTTAATTAGTTATGCTTATAAATTAATTACTCGTGAAGGAGTGACAACTTTTGTTTGTTTTTACTCTAATTTATCTAGGGGTGAAAGGTGGAACGGAATTTTTCCAATTTAAAAACTTTCGATTCTGGAACAACTTTTTTCATAGATTTTTTAAATTCCGATTTCCGATATTTTTCGATTCTTTTGGTTGAATTTGGAATTTTCAATTCCCGATTCGATTAAAAAATTCCGATTTCATTTTCCGAAAAGTATACCAATAATATCTTATTTATTTTACCTATGGAATATTTACATACTTTTACCTTATCCTAGCTCCATGTTGAAGAGGCAAAGTATTTAATTTGCTATTTTTCTGATCTTTCATAGTTTTGACTTTTATCATTTCGAAAGTTTTGAATTTTTATATGGTATTTGAAAATAAGTGTCTACAAACAAAAAGAAAAAAAAAATAGGTGCCTAGTGCAATATTTGGAATCATTATAGTAATTTCTAAAATATTCGTATTTATCATATGACTAGTTTTAGTTTTATGAGTTTTATGATTTTATGAAAGTGTGTTTTCTTATTTTTAAAAGTGAAAAAAAATAATTAATTTAATGTATAATAAGAAAATATAGTATACTAATATAGTAAAATTTAATAATGTAGTATTATTCATATTTTATGTAACATTAGTTTCATTAGTTTTTTTTTAAATCTGACATATTAATATTTATAATCCAAATATATAGATCGAATTTCTATCTTTATCTCTTAAGATTTGAGATATATTGGAGATTGATAATTGTTGAAAATTATAGTTAAAAAATTAGTAGACAAAAAATATTAAAAATATTTAATTACAGAAATACCATTAGAGTTTTGTAGGGTTGCTCAACGTTTCTTTCTTTTATATATAAAATATTAAAGTTTTTGAATTTAAAAAGGAAGAAGTGCATTTCCAAAATTCCAAATTATCCATAGCTTTTGGAATTCAAATTGGAATCAGTTTTGTGCTTCCGAAAAAATTGAAAATTTTTCCAAAAAAAATTAATTCCGCCCCTAAATTGTTTCAACTCTGGTCCCAATTGAAATTTCTTGACTAATGTTAAATAATTAGAAATTTCCTTTCCCCCTTCTTGGCTACAAATAGTTAATTAATTCGCCTAATTTGCTAATATAATTTATACATATAAAATGTATGTATGTATGTATGTATATAGATATGCAGGCCAGCACTATTCAAGAAAGCAATGAGGAAATACAACATAGCATGGTGGGCATATTCTTACCCAATAACAATGTTGGCATTGGCTTCATTAAGATACGAGGAAGAGGTCAAAGGTTGTTTCCCTCATGCAATTAAGCTAATCCTCTCTGTTTTATCTGTTCTTGTTCTCTTTCTTCTCCTCATTTTCACTGCCTCCAATCCCAAATTGCTTTTGCCAGATCACGATCCCTTAATCACTAGTGATCATACTCTTCATCTCCCCACCCATTCTACTTCAAACACTACCTCCACTACTACCCCTTAAATATATATATATATATTATATAAATTTTGTTAATTGATTTGCGGCGATTTAATTTATCTACGTGGCAGAGGTCCGAGATGTGGATCAATGCACACGAACGAATATCTTACTTTAGATGATATATAGATGTATCTATTTTTAGATATTTCATTTTGATATATTTATTTACTTGTTGAGCAACTCCAATGGTAGGTATTAAAACGAGACATCTAAACATTTAATTGATGCTTGAAATAATACTTTGGTACTTTACAAAAAACTTATATGCTCCAACCCGAATTACATAAATTATTTTAATTTAAAAAAATGTATTAAACATAAATTAATGGATATATTTGGTCCTTATTCCATAGGAATTTGTTAGAAAATTTATTATTTTTATGTTGAAATTGCAGTTCCTAATTTCTAGGAATATTTGATACTTGTTTTTTTGGGTGCATTTTTGTACCTCTAGGAAATGAAGTATCAAAAAAACTACCCCTTTAGTACTTCCGTTGGAGAAGAAATTTTGAGTTTTGAAAATCAAAATGAAAATTTTATCATTTAATACTCCATTTGATTCCGCCATTCGAGTTGCTCTGAAATAATATATTTGTCATATTCAATATGCATCAACAATTAAACTGTACGGATTAAAGTCTACAAAAAAGAAAAAAATGATCAAAGCAAGAATTGGACCAATAAATTAAAGAAGTCAATAATTATGGCTACAAGCCTACAACTTGTAATTAAACAAATGGGATTTAACATGGTTGTACAGTTACTTGGAGGAGTTGAACTCTTGTGCATTACATTCACCAAATTCACAGTTTGGTTACAGCTGTTAAATCAAATTAAATGTTTTTTTTAATTGTTTTTTTTTAATACTAATAATCAGAGAGCACTAGGGAAAAACGAAAAAGAAAAAAAAAAAAAACAATTTACCCGGAATCTGGAGCATGGGCGAACTACTTTGTGGAGTACCGGTCTAGTAAAATATTTTGAAGTAATAAAAAAATATTATTATTATTATTATTGTTTTTTCCGTTTTATGTATTAATTGAAACATTTCTTTTAATTTGATTTCATATGATATGGGCTCGATTGCTCCAAAAGTCCAAATAATAATAACTCTATAACAAAGTTCAAAGGTAGCCCACTCTCATCTTGCTAGTAACACTCTGTAAGGCCGATTACTAGGTCCACGTGAGGTAGACAGACGATTGATGTGACTATATTCAAGTTTTAGAAGAAAGATGGAAACTGACATTGACCAGTAAGCAACCTAATTACGGCATAACCAAAAGCGCCCCATTGAACTGATCGGGGTCGCACAAAACAACTGACCGAGGTCGCAGGAAACAGGATAACTCGCCCTCAGCTGACGAATACAACCCTTAGGGATCACATCACCCCCACATCTGATCTGACCAAAGACATAACGAGGGACCGATCACCCTATCCCGACGACATATATAAATACAGCCTTCAGGTACAACGGAAGGACAATCTTTTCTCTCGTATTCCTAATACACATTTACTTTTATTACATCTTTAAAAATACACCTATATTGTTTAAGTTCTTCACAGTTACGTTCCGATTAACTTTTCGTTGGAGTTCCAACTCCGAAAAATCTTTCCCGAATACTCCTTTTTTCAGGTTTTCTAAAATGTGTGGGCTTGCTCTTGTTTGGACTTTCTCCATTCTTGACCCATTTCATTCTAATATTTTAACTTGTGATTGAGCCATTTAGGCTTCATCAACATATTTGAACATAGTAGAAATAATATCTAACCAAAAGTATATATATAGTTGCACAAGCTTGTATAATATGTACCGAGTTTTTGAAGTTGCGTTTGGGCTTGATTCGATTGGTAACCAAGTCAAACTCAAAATGACTTTTAATCCACTAAACATAAATGTAGTTAGCTCAAACATTTTTCTTACACACATTTGATCTATTTATAGTTTAGCTTAAATCGAAACAAATTTGATAGGCGTACATCAAAACTATTTTCAAGTAGTTTAATTCATTATTAATTTATCAAAAATAACATTCGTTATATTAACCAAAAAAGCTCAAACGAATTTTTAACAAAGTAGAACATCAAATAATTGAACTTGATTTTCAACCATACATGTTATGAAATTAGGTCAATAGCATTACTCTAAATTAGGTGAATGCAAAGCCATAATAAATTAAGGGTAGCTTGTAATCATTACAAACTCATAAAAGACATAGTGCTTATGCAGTTAATTCTTGTACCAAATATTCTATAAAATTCACATTTTCATTTATTAAAATAAAAAAATATAATAAATATAGGCCAAAGATTCTCGAGGATCTTTTAACCAAAACTAAGGCTTAAATTTACCACCTGATTTTGCCCAACTAATCAATCTTTTCAATCACAAGTAATTAAAATTTCTTTTTTTTTTAATTTAATTAATTAAACAGGAATAAATAAATAATGCATCATCATTCATCAGCATCAATGGATTTTTTCACACTTTCGAGGGTGAAAAAGGGTTTTTTTTTAAAATAAAAATAAACGTGGGGGGCCCTGGCCCCCAATGACTGTGGTGGTGGTGACTGATAACAAGAAATGACTGATTCTTAAATTACTTTATAAACTTCTGCAGCCCATTTACACGGATTTGGTAAGTCCTTTCCGTCCTTGGAAACATACACGGGTCCCTCAAAAACCCTTTATTTATGATCCAACCCCTCTCATCTTCTCTTATTTATGATCTCGTCCCTCCTCTCTCTTGCTACTATTTATGGTCTTTTACATAGTCTTATCTCCATTTTTTTCAGACAAGAGGAGAGAGAGAGAGAGAGAGAGAGAGAGAGAGATGGCGCGTGGGAAGATCCAGATCAAGAAAATAGAGAACCAAACGAACAGGCAGGTGACCTACTCAAAGAGAAGAAACGGGCTTTTCAAGAAAGCCCACGAGCTTTCTGTTCTCTGTGATGCCAAAGTTTCAATTGTCATGATTTCCAGTACTCAGAAACTCCATGATACATCAGCCCCTCCATCACGTAGCTCACCTCTCTCTCTCTCTCTCTCTCTCTCTCTCTACAACCATTACACTT